GAAAATAATATTCGATTTAGACCGAGAAGAATTAAATGCCATTCATTATGTTCTGTTTAAATTTTTTGTCATAAATCTGATACGACATTGTAAGGCGAAGTGTTTATAAGAATCGATTATTGACAGTTTTTCATATTTTAATTACTTTAAGAAAATAAAGTTTCAGCTATCGATGATATTTATTAAAACTTCCTGCTATCTTTTTTAACAAAGAATGACGAGTAAATTCAATCTGATTGTTATTTGCGAATAACGAATGCTCAATATATTCACAACTCACGGTTAACAGATAAATAAAGCTTCTCTATTTTATATAACGTTTCTTCAGTGCTGCACATAATAACATGAGAAACGTAAATTCCCTGTATAGTTGTCAGCAAAATTGATAAATGCGAATATAAAACGATGAATATTGAATAACGAATAAACGGTTCCCATATGAATAACGAATAACAAGAATAACAAATGACCCTTTGCACTCGACAAACTGTCACTTGTCATTTGATTATACGCAGCAAAATTATAAACTTTCAAGTTCAATATTACACTTTGCATACTGTGTCAACACATGAAATATTGAAATAAAGTAGTCCTGTCACTTAATTTGTCAAGATTATTCTTTACATTAGTTGCAAAAAGTATCACCAACATTTCATCAGAGAATAATGAACACTTATTAATCCTAGATTTACGGAACGAGTCAATTTGACTCATATTGAATTTTATAAACATTATTTGGTAAATGTTTAGGTCGATTTTGATTGGTTCAATTACGTGATTATGGTTCCTAATGATACATTTTTAAACATTTGATTTCCCAGATCTAAACGAACGAACATCAACCTTTCTGGGAACAATAGAACAAACTGTACAATGAATGTCCGTAAATCTAGTGTTAATGACAGATATCATCGAGTGTAAACGGTTAATTATCTATTCGTTATTATGTATAAAATTTTATTCTAATAATGTCCGACGCTGATTACGGGCTAAACCATTGGAGTTCGTTATTATCTCCTTCACTTATTGTTCCCGTAGGTATTCGTGGTTGAGAGGTCACCCAGTTAACAGGTTAACACGTTGACTGCCGCATGATTTTGCCGAGACAAATATAGAAAATGAAAATAATGTAACATCAACTTATGCCATTGAATTACGTTGTTATTATTACAGGTTTGTATTGTTGAATGTAAGTACATTAAGTTGTATTACTTATAATATAGAAAAAATTTCAAATAATCATCGTTTAATCGAATGAATTATAGTAATTCGATTTCGTTGAGGTCACCGGTGACCCCCATGGCATTCAACGTGTTAATACGCTCCTTATGCTCGTCCGCGAATGGTTTCACGCGTTTTTCGCTGCGCGTCTTTCTGCGAGGTTTTCCGTCGAGCAGACCGCTCTATGAGCCTAATTCATACTAGGCCATTGTCCCCGCTTTTTTATGGCTTGACTCGTTGGTTCGCCCGCGGCCTCTTCCGTAAAGCCGTGTTCACACCGCCTTGGCTTTTGTCTCGCAGTCTTGACGCACGACTGCGCCGCTTTGGAGGGGGTGAGTCCCATAGTAGAGATGTCCCGATCGATGTTGGGCATTATTCAAATAGAACTTCATTTCGATAATAATAAAGTATAAATAATCGGTATTACTGCTTGTTAATAAATGTAATAATTGATCATAATTAATCATTAATTGTTATTAATCCTTTGCACCATAATTTGACACAGTGAAACCATAAACTTTGATATTTAATGTTGAACTTTGTATAGTGCCTCAATATATGAAATATTGTAATGAAATAACTTTGTTTCTCAATTAACTGATGATTTCCCTCTGAGTTAGTTTCAAAGAATATCGTCTTTGTCTCGTCAAGAAATGTTAACACATTGCGTACCGGTAACGAGAAATCTCGTTTTTATATAAAGACACTTAGCTATGCAACTTTGCTAATTACCACAGCATTGAAGGAAATATAAAATTTAATTCGAATTGATTGTCCATTTAAAATATATTACATAACAATATGATATCTGAGTTTTTCTATGTATAGTGATATAAGTTGACCTCAGTTTTCTGAAAATTAGCCGGTACGCAATGTGTTAAATGTTTCTAGTGAGAAACTTCCGAGTGAAAAGTGTTCGCAATTAATCGTTATAATCATTATAAATTTAATAATTAAATATACTTAATCGTTTGAATCGTTATAAATGTAACAATCATTAAAAATCAATCGTTACATTAGTTATAATTATTCAAGTTACTCGTTATTCGTGTGGAGAACCTTTAGTAGCTATTTACTATTCACCATTTCTTTCTGGCAATTTTAAAATCGGTTATAGTATTATATACAGCGTTAAGAAAAGGTTATTCAAAATAACGAATATAAAAGGACGAATAAGTTCAATTTATTTATTATCTTGAAGACATAAACGTTCACTGAAGTAACCAACATTGAGGTTTTCAATTAGTCTTTCTAAGCTTAAAATATTTCATATGTTTAAGATGTGAACACAATTGAATGGAGATGAAAAGTACGTGTTTATATTGATCTGTGTCGGAAAGCTGAAAAGCTAAAGGATGTGTAAACGGTTTCCTACCCCGTATCGGTAAACATCAAATGAATTCGTACTACGGGCGTTGGTTTGACATGGTACACAAGTGTTTTAGAACGACACCAGTACTCTGTAGCCGTTGATTGATGAGAGGGCCTAGAACTGAATTTCTATCTCTCTATATACGGGACGTGCGATTTTCCAGGGTCCAATGAATTTTTAATAAATTTTTCACATATTTAGATATTTACATATTCACACGTTTATATATTCATATATAATTCATTAAAAAAGGTGAATTTTTTAACACATGGTATTTACAAATTGAAAATATTAATATAAATATTTAATAGAGGATTTATTTGTCCAATAAATATAAACGAAATATTTAAGCCAGTATAATTACCTTCCATTTACACATACAGTTTTAATCAGTATGTTTCCATTAAACATTACTACGTGTTATCTTCAACTGGTTGAGCTTCGTTCGTTAAAACCGTCTTTTTGTGTGAAAATAATGTGATACTTTGAAAGGTGTTGAAATAGCACTACAGTTGGCCAGAAAATAGAGGGGTGAAGTTAATTATTTAACTCTATAGAGTTTCATTGTGGCGTCAAATAATTCCGCGCCCCAGCGAGTGAGAATGAAACGAAAAAACATTTTTCATTCAACTTTGTAGCTCACGCTCTCCTGCGTAAATATATAGGTAAGCTGTACACATAAATATGGATCCATCGCCGCGGGTAAGCCATTTTCGGTGAATATTTTCTGTAAAATTGAAAAGTGGGATAGTGTTGTAACCATTCACCGAAACGTCGAGCTGCGAGGTGCAGGCAGTGCAGGCCCGGCTTAAAACTCACGAGTCGCTTTTGTTCGCGAGATTTAGAGTTTGAACATGCTTAGCTTGTAAAGGGAGGTTATTAAAAATTTTAGTATTGAAACTCGAACATTGTTAGATCAAATATTTCCTGCGAGCAAAATGAAATTTAAGATATAACTACTGAGAGAGCTCGACAACGTTTTACTGTAGATTGAAGAGGATCTTTTAAGAATCGAATTTTAATATCCTAATATTTGTCTAAAAATATTATAAGTAAGAAAACAAATTAATTAATAAACTTCAGCGTATCCCAACGGTTTCCTTCTATTCTTATTATTATTGTGTCATTTCTCGGATCATTCTATTTACTACCATTCAGCTTTTCTCAATCCGAATTTTATCGACATTTTTGAAAATTCAGTACTTGCGCCAGAAGTTGACCACCCTTTAAAACGAGAAAACTAGTAATTGACCGTATGTTAGTTAGCAGTTGTCCGCTTATAGTAAAACCAAAAACACTAAAGGTGATCACTTCAATATCATTTATTCAGAACGATTATGACAAATTACAACTAAAAAAACTAATACAAATGAAAACAAGTTAATTCCACGTTGGAAATTGGAGGCATATAATCAACGTCAATGAAATGAATTGTTAGTTTTCAGGGTAAACAATTCAATTCCGGTAAAAGTGTGTCGAAGTTATGTTGATAGAATGGGTTGAGAGATTACTTGTAAAAATCTTATTTTTTACATTTTTCTGAAAAATGGTCAACTACTGATACCAGGCCAATTATTGTCTTCACCTTAAACATATAACTTAACTCTTTGCACTCGAGGGCTCCGTTGCAGAGCTATTTAAAATTGGTCATTACAAACTGTAAAATTTTATTATTAAATATATTATAACATTTATATCTATAATCGATAGAAAACAGTAAGATACATCTATGACTTTTCTTTTCACGCACGTATTATTTATTTATATGTTAACACGTTTTTTCTATTAAAATTACTTCGATTTGCTGGTAATGTCAGTGAAAAACTGCAATAAAATGTCAAAACGTAAAGAAACAACAATACAAACAAAATATACTAAACTACGTATTGAAAAAAACAAATTCGTAAACTCATAAACTCGTAAATTCGTAAATTCATAAATTCCTAAATTACTCGACCTTCGAGCCCTCGCAGCACCCCCAATAACTTTCCCGCGCGCACCCTACATTGAGAACCACCGTTCGGACAATTACTCTTCCCTAACCTATACCTGTCAAACGTACAATTACAGGCCGACAGGGAAAAAAATATTTTCCCCGTCGAATATACGATCCAAACACAATCACCGTCACGATCAATATTAAATAACCCCATCGATACGAATATTTCTCTCTCTTGGTGTAAATATAGGCGGCAAGATGATGTTGCAGAGGGTTGAGGATAGTGACACGGCCTGTAGCAGTGCGATGGCGCGTCCGGGGTAGTCGGTGTGGGGTCACGAGCGGAGTGACGAGGAGAGACCGATAGAGGAGCGAGAAGGAGGGACAGAGAGAGAGTGAGAGAAGGGAGCGAGAGAGAGAGGAGAGGGTGACGTTCGGCAGGCCGACTTTCCTCGGAGCCAGTCGGATGTTAAACGCGACGGGAGTCGGTTCTTCGTTCCTCGCTGTGTCTCGGCCGTGATCGGCTTTCGTCGGATCTCCTGCTTCTCTTCTTCGTTTGGTTTTTTTCTTTCTTTTCGCTGTACGTACGCTCGCCGCGCAATCGTTGTTGCACACAGAACGGGATCCAACGCTCGCGCGGACACGCGTTTCCGTTTCGCGGATGCGTCGACAGGATTCGAGCAGTACAGGCCTCCGCGGATAATCGAACGTCGGACGGAACGTGTGTAGAAAAGGAGAGGAGTGAAGGAGTGAGACGGGTCGTTGCACTTGCCGCCTGCCTGCCGTTGATCGAGTGGTGGTTCATTAAATTTCAGTGCGTGATTTGTGTTTAACGACCGCGCCTCGATCCCGTTACTCGTGACAATACAAGGTCTCGTGATATCCCTCTTCTCGAGGTGCCTCTTCGAGCCTCGTCTGTGCCGGACGAGAGCCCTTCAGTGATATTATTTTTTACAATTCGGAACGATTCCGACGAATCGCAGCGTCCAGGTGCAAGGAAGCCTCCGTGTGCACGCGACTGGGAAAAGGAAACTAGTGTTGTTGCGAGGCGTGCAGGCCTGCCTAGACTCGCTTGCCGATACCGACGCGTCCGGTGAACACAGAGAACTGTAAAGTGACTGGCATAACTGGTCTAAGGAGAGAGCATTGCATCGCGCGGCCCAGTTGCTGCAGCCTAGAGCCACGGTAGAGCCGGCCCGTACGAAAATTACGACGATAATGCGCACAGTGAGCGAAGCGATGAAACATCGCGTGATCAGCTGACTAGCCGAACTGTTCGGCGGCCCCGGACGCTCGGCCGGTAACGAAAATCGGCGCAGAACCGACAAGGATCCTCGACTGCGACAGGAACGATTGTCTACCTGCTCAGTTATGACGTTCGGCACGCCGTTTCACACCGACAAGTCGCACTTTCCCAGCGATAACCCTGCTCGGTACGTTTCTTGTTTTATTTGGGCTTCTTTCGACACGGTGAACCGGTTTTGTCTCTTGCCGTCTACGCTTCGGGTCTCTTTCCCTTGATCGGAACCGATTATATGATCGCCGCGACGGACCGTCGATCAGTTCTCCGTTTTAGGAGCGTTTTCGTGCGTCGTTGAATTGCCTTTGGTCGGTATCTAGGTTGTTAATTACTGTGAGAAGAGTATTCACCCTCTATAGGCCAGTGTGACTTTAAAGTTGCATCGATACATTGGCATGTTGCTGATTTATTTCATGTTGCACAGCAAAGTGGCGAATAGAGTTAGGTAATTAATTAACTTAAACTTTTATACGCTTGAGCGTGAAAGTTCAGCGTTATTGTAATTTCAGAGTTACAAGGTATAATCGGTTTAATACTCGAATGCCATGGTGGTCACCGATGACCTCCAGTCAAATCGAATTAATATAGTTCATTCAATTGAACGATGATTATTTGAAAACATTTGTATATTATAAATAATGATATCTAATACGGTGGCATGCAGCTGGATAAACGTGCAATAATAATGCAATTCAATCAGATGATTTAATATCTTATTTTTTCCATTTCTTTTTTAATTACTTATTTGTATTTATAGATTGATGTTTGTTAATTTTATACTACATACATTTATTTATAGTTGTGAACAAAAATTCGGTCTATAGAGGGTTAAGTGTTTGAGAAGTTATTTAGAATTCGAGTAATTGCATTTTTATGTTTATCGTTTCTTGTTAATTGTTCCGTTGCGATAGTAGATTACGGAGTTGTTTAGGTATTTACGTGATTGTTTAGCTGTGTGTCTCTCTTCTTACCGGAAAGAAAGGAAATTATAGTGGGATGGTGACTAACGGTCCTTGTTGCTTGCGAGATTATGTTTTGAATCACGCTTGACAATGAATGAAGAAACATCTTATTGCTTGTTGTACATTGCGTTGTTTATTCGATCGTTTTCTTCTTTGCTGTTTGTTATATCAAAGATGTTAGCGGAGCGTGTTATTTAATAATTCTGTGAATTATTTTGGTATAATCACTGTCAATTCGATTAATTAATAAACGATTCTAGCATTGAAGTTATTAAAGTGATTGCAATGAAGTTTTATTTATTTCTTGCTCCATTACTGCTCTACTAATTTGTTTTCCAATATCAATAAAATTAAATACAGTCGGTTAGTTTCCTAATGAAGACTGCACGTCTATTAGATGATGATAGAACATGATCACTGGCAAAAAGGATCATGATCTCTATAATGCACGTTCACTTTGCTCTTATTCGAGAAATATAATTGTATTTCTTTTGAAAATAATTTTCCATCTACAGTTAATCACAGAAGTATCTGTTAATTTTCAAGAATTTGGAAGAAACCAACATTAAACAATTAAAATTACATAGATTCTAATAAAACGATCTTCTTATATTCTGAAATGCATTCATTCCTTCAAAAATGTCACTAAGTTGAAAACGCAGTAAAGAAAATTGCTTGTTGTAATTATTATACTCATTACAATAACAAATATCGCGTACCCTAACATTCTCCTGGAAACTGCATAGATTATACGGTTTTATAATACTTTCGGTTTTTGTTTCTCCTTAAATGCAGCACACATCGTCACGCTTTTCAGAATCCAGTTGATAATTGATCATCAACAAATATTTGTGGAATTCGAAAAATTCCTGTTTCGTTCTTGAATATTTGTAATTTAGCAGTATACGCAACGTTATTGCCCGATTTGATCGAATCTAGAAATTATGGGACGGACGTGAATGCAGTAAACAGTTATGAAAGCAAACAATATTGTCACGGAAAAAAGCGTATCAATAAAGGAACTGATAAATATTTGCACACGTACGGCGCATTTACTGTTGATTTTACCGTCTAGAGGATCTTTTGTTCGTGGATACGTACGCTCCGTTCTGTTTGTCCGCGAAAAATATGGCAAAAAGAAAAATATTCCAAATCGTCAGTATGTAAGTGCTTGTAAAATCAAGTTGCAGAATTGAGAAAATTTGCGAAATATACAGATCGCATTTTACGATCAACGTGCGCAGTTAACACAACATTGTCAGTTCGAGCTTTCTGAACGATGAGAATTCGCCTGGAAAATTTTTCTCGAAAATTCCTTTCTTTCTGAAAGTGTTTCTGAGGAATTCTTTCCTTTCTAAAAACTCTTCTTAAAAATTCATTCCTTCTTGACAAGCTTTTGAAAATTCTTGACAATTCTTTACGTATACAAAATTCTCTTCTCCCTGATAATTTCTTCAGAGAATTCCTCGAAAAAGTTCTGTTTGAAAATTCCCTCGTCTAAATCCCTGTGGGAGCAATTACAGACGTTTCCTCGCGACCCGCGAAACACAAAGCGAGGCGCGAAACAATTAGACGTTAAATATGACTGACGTCAGTTCAGCGGATTCTTAAGTTCACATGCACACGCGACTAATCTGGCATTGATTTGGCAAAGTTGAACGTCATAAGTGCCACCCTATATATGTACATATAATTATTGGTATTCATTTTCATTTACATATAAAGCGGTCCTCCGTTTAGTCACGTGAATCGTGTATTTTTATAGACTCTGGTCCCTTATATGTGAGTCGTTTATTTTGAAAATGGCTTATGTTCGATTAACCTGTTAACTGTGGAATTTAACGTGAAAAATCTCTGCTAATGCTCACATGAAGTCAAATAATGAAGTGTATACTCGTCTAACGCAAGCTAAACATACCTGTAATATATTCTAACGAAAAGTTACAGCAAAACGAACAAGAATTACATGTTTGTCTGAAAAAATAAATAATTTATTGTTGAAAGAATTATTATTATTAGAACGCAGTTAACTGATTAAAAAACTAACCCTGTACAAATAAAAAGATAATGTAGAATTTGAGCCATTATCGCTAACTTGATATGTGTTTAAAAATGGAGTTAGTACGAGAGCGACGAAGAAATTATCGGGAAGCCATATAACATAGATCTGGTTCGCATTGTGTTATTGTCGCGTTGCTGTGAATTGCAATGGTGTCACGTCGCACAAGAAAATTTTACTGGGAATTGAAATTTCTCTATGGAAAAGATTCATTCCCGTGTTCTTCTTAAATTTGTGTTGATAACCTTAATCCTTTATAGTTCGAAGTAATTTAGATGTCTCATTCCAGAACTTCTGAAACACTAGAACTACCGAGCATTTAATACGATTGATATGTAATCTCTATAAAAATTGTAACAATAGATTATTCTCAGTTTCTTTGGACATTCATCATAGTACTCAAGTGAAACTGTTTATTTCCAAAATCATTTCAAATATTCAATGCTTTTAAGGTATTAATCACTGCGAAACAAACAAATCGAAACCAGACATTTTGACTGGTACGGTAGTTCTAGTGTTAAAACTAATTATTGTAAATTAATATGGCACTTGAATAATATATGACATGATTATTCGAAGAAAAATTATTAAGTTCTCTAGTAATACGTAATATTATTGGATAGGTGATGATTATTCATGACATTTCTTATTTCACGATTATTGAAGTTATAAAAATAGTAATCGACATGGAATAATTAATACAGAACTCGTGTAGAGAGACATACGTAATCTATTCATTTATTCTGATAGGAAGAAAAAGAAAATGTATTCAATTTACAAGTCTAATGAGCTGCATGTAATAATTAATGCATAGATTTGATGAATAATATGACCAGTTTGTAGTAATTTCAGCATAATTGATAAAATTATGATGTACAGGAAGGTCGCATACATAATAACCGTGGAACCTTAATTAAACACTTATAGCTTGCTCTAAATTAACGAATACATCTTCGATTTCTCGGAATGTTATACTCGCGAATAAATGATTAAAAGCCTGTTTAAGAAATTGCAAAATTGATTGAACATTTGCCACGAATGTTAACAACTCGTTATACCAAAGTTCAATGTTAACACCAATTGAACTTCTCGCTTAACGCAGCTCAGGATAATAAATAAATGGATAGTGCACAGTTTATGTAGCTGGATCTTATAACTGGAACCGCGCGAAGGAAAATGAGGTTTTCAATGAGATAACATCACAGTTTCATTGATAGTAATTTTTCACCTAGCGGTCTAATCGGCGGGATAAGTATATGAACTGGAGTTGATGATTTAATGCGTGCTCCACTAGTTATAACAAGGTAATGCGCTCGTGATGTTACATCGGCGGTGATCTCATTTCAATAAAATTCACGTTTCATTCAAATGGCGCAATCAACGTCAAACTGCATTAATCGATAATGGAGTGGAAACACGGCCGGTTTGAAGAGATATAATGGTCAGTGAACTAGAAAAATATGACGATAGTGCGGCAGTGGAAGCGAAGAGGCAAGGTCACGACAGAGTAGATTGATATGACCTTAATCTCAACGTGTTGCTGCTGGTATAACGGGACGTGAACAGGAAAAAAGTGTGCGATGAATTCGTTTTCGGCAGACACGCTGGATTCCTTCGTTGGTTTGATCTAGCGACGATAAAACGAAGGTATTCGAGCGATTAGAAGTTAACCCCTTGCACTTTGAGAATATTCTTCTCAACAGATGTTCATTATTTTCTGATGAAGTATTCTTTCATTCTTCCACGACTAACATAAAGGGCCATCTTGTTTAAATTAAGGGACAGAATTAATTTATTTGAATGTGTTTATAAAATTACATTTTATATAGTGTATACATTTGGTCGAGATAGAAAGTGATTAATTAAGCGTTCTCAATCTCTAATTAACAGTGTTTGCGAGACAAAATGAAAGTTTCTTTCGCATCTCCGGAATGTTTCGCTAAAACTTCTTATAATATAAGAGCGGAACATAATGGAAATCTGACTTTCATTTGTTTTCTTGTTTGAAATTACTTCCTTCCGCATATTCGACTGACAGAACACCCTGTATATGATATATGAGCGAAGGGGAAGATCCCCTGTGTTTCAACTCGCGGGATTAGCGTTGCGCAA